GCAATTTTAAATTACAACAATAGTACGCACAGTACAACTGAGTTTACTCCTTTTCAAATAATTAAGGGTGATTTAAATTATGCAATTCCAATTGAACAAACAGAAAATAAAATAACTACTGATTATATTAATAATCTAGCGGACTCATTGGCTACTCTTAATAGAGAAATTCAGAATAAATTAACATCAAAACAAACTAAAGTACTCGAAAAACGTAACGAGAATCGAGAAATTGAACCCGAATTGCAAAACCCAATCTATGTAAAGCAATTCAATAGAAACAAAATAAGTCCACGATACGATAAACAAACACAAAGACATTTTAGTAAACAAAATGTAAAGAGACAATATCCTATTTCAGGTGAAAGACAATGAACGTCCTAACGTCCCTTATGGTAATAGGAATTGCCCACGCCTATACGATGACCTCGTTGGAAAATCCAATTTTACCAATTTCCTTAGGTAATACTTATATGACCATACAACACAATACTGCGTTTTATCATATCAATACAACTATCATATTACAAGGAATACACAAATTAGAAACAACATTGAGTTCATTATATCAATCAACACAGATGTTGAATAAAACAACATGGTCCACTCTGTTCCAAACAAACATTGAAACAAGTCAATTACAAGTAGACTTAATGAAACAAACGGTTAAGACTATTGGTAATAAAAGAAGCAAAAGAGGACTTCTCAATTTTATGGGAACAGCTCAGAAATGGCTCTATGGTACTTTAGATTCAGAAGATGGTGCTAGATACGATTCATATATTCAAATCTTAAATGAAAATCAAGGTACTATCAATAAAAATCTAGAAAAACAAGCACAAGTACTAAAGAAAGTCACAAAAACATTCCATGACCAATTCTTAAATGTTGAAGCTAATCAAAAGCTCTTAGCAGAGAAAATTGATAATATTACTAATGAAAATCATAATTTTCACACCATGTTAAACTTCAATTTGATATTGAACAACATAAACATGCAAAGTAATAAGATACAAAATTTAATAGATCATATTCAACTTGCTATTAATTTCGCACAGCTAGGAGTTATGCATTATACGATCCTTCAACATAATGAACTGAATCAAATACTGCATAATATACCTAAACAACAGCAGATTCCATTTGACAACGTAATCAAATATTTTGAAACTATGAAAACACAAGTTAAAATCCAAAACGAACTTATAATATTTGTAATTTATACACCTATTATTGACCCAAGACCTTTTCTTTTGTATAAATTATATTCTATCCCAATCCAAAACCTCACGGTTAGAATTAAGTTCCCTTACTTGATACTTACTACGGACTCATATTATAATATCCAATGGGAATGCCCAAGAGTCGAAAACATATACTTGTGTAACGAAGAAATGCTTAAACAAGAAGAACCATGCGTCTACAGTCTAATTACTGACGGACAACAAAAGTGCTCATTCGTAAAAATACATTACGAAGAACCAACAACTAAACAACTCGCAAATGGTCAACTATTGATCATACCTAAAAAGAGTCAAACCATTGTTACCAAATGTGATAAAATTAGTCACATGGACATATTGATGAAACCAACTCTAATCACTCTCGATACTTGTCGGATAACAATAAACAATCAGACATTTAAAAAGATAAATGAAAATTTCAACTTTGAGTTGAAAATACCAAAAATGGACATACCAGATCTAGCAGAAAATATTACTACGCTCAAGATCAAAGAATTAAACCAAGAGACACTTCAAGAAGCCTTTGAAGAAGCAAAGAAGTTAGAAGTTCAACCTTTGAAAGAACTTAACTATTCTTACAATTATACTAATACTTATATAATCATAGGTTTAAGCATTGTAATCATATTTTTAGTTTCAGCATACTATTTTTGTAAAAAGAAGAAAACTTCAACAAATGTGCAAATCGAATTGTCAGATTTGGGTCATCAATCAAAACAACCCGAATTTGCAACATCTTAAGGTGGGAGGAGTTATATTGAACGATTCCCATATCAACTAATGTTAATTAGTTAATCAATCTATTGCTTTAAAGGAGCATACTAATTGCTCGCCCACGATGACATCACAATTGTTGACGTTTTTAGTGAATATTGCTAGCTTGCATTTATTGTTTATAAAAAGCGGTGCAGCCATGCACAATTGTTCTTTTGCTTTCATGCTTTGCAGCAGCAACTAGTTCCACCAGTCTTCATATGTTACTTTACTTTTACTTTTAATTAAAATAAAGTTTTTAAAAAGGTAAAGTTTCTTATTTGAAACTTAATTATGGTATAACACTAGGGGAGGTATCTAAAAAAGCCAAAGAAAACAATTTTGAAAAATTACAATTAAAACTACCAGAGGTAAAATTTATGAGTTATAAAATCTCAAAAAACGGTGTTAATAATGAAAATATAGAAACAATTAAAACTATAGATAGTCCCACAAATAAATCAGAAGTTCTTAGAGTTTTGGGATTAGCAACATTTTTTCTAAATTTATACCTAATCTGTCGTCTGCTTTAACAACTAACCTACGAAACTTGACAAGGCAAGACGTTAAATTTAAGTGGACCACAAGAACATGACTTAAATATTTAATAACACATTCCAATATTAAAAAATTTTAATCCAAATTTAGACATAACAATACAGTATACAGTGTGACGCTTCTAGTGAAGGTCTAGGATGTGTTCTTTTACAGCCACCCAGTATCATTTTGTCAAGAACCTTAATTAAATCGGAAAAAAGACATGCGCAAATAGAAAACTTGCCATACGTTTTGCTTTTGAAAAATTTCATTACTATGTTTATGGACACCCTGTAATCGTACATACCGACCATAAGCCGCTGATATCCATTTTTGAAAAAAATCTGCATAAAATAAGTAACAAACTTCAGCGAATGATGTTATAGTATATTGTGTATTTAGGTGGAAAAGTGACACATTCTCGGCCGACGGTGTAAGTTGACGGGCCAGGCGTATAGCCGAGGCCGGCAAACCCCGAAGACCGAGAATGTGCTTTTCCACCGAAATACACATACTATTTTTTCTGCGATCCGTTAAATATCTGTTAAATGGTTGTCTTTTTGTTCCAATTATTCAGCAGTACGAGAATCACTTTCCCGGCCTAGGACGGAAAAGTGATTCTCGTATTGTTATTCATTGATTCCCTGGCAACTATTGAAACATAATTAAAATACCAGAATCTTGAGTTTTGCGACCCGTCAACCGGTTAAAAATGCTGACATTTCTTGTCAATCGCAGAAAAAGTATTTTTGTGAGATTCGAAACAAGTGGCTGAAAAAGATAAGAATTTAAATTCTGATTTAAAATTTTACTTTCGACTAAGAAACAATATTTACCTTCCAAATGATCTTTTATTTTTAAACTCAAAAATTATGGTACCAGACTCTTTGCGAAAAGATATGCTTAATCTAGTACATCAGACACATTTTGGGATCACTAAGGCAAAGTCTAGAGCTCGTCAATTGTTTTATGGCCAAAAATGTGACATGACATTGAAATTGTGATGTCAAACTGTGAAAAATGTGAAACATATCAAAAATCCAATCACAAAGAAACAATGATAACTCACCCAATACCAAATAGACCATGGAAGTTTCTTTTTAGTGATTTTTTTGAATTTAAAGGAAATTTTTTTATTCTTTTAGTAGACTCATATTTAAATTGAGTGGAGGTTAGTAAAACAAAGGGTAAGACAGCTTTTGATGTTATGCAATTCTGCAATTCTGAAAATAATAGAAGTTATCGTACAAGGTTGGTGGCAAAGGGTTTTACCCAAAGAGAAGGAGTGGATTATAGTGAAACCTTCTCACCAGTTGTTAGGTATTCTGAACTTATGTTACTAATAGCTTTGTCAGTAGATTTAGGTCTAGATGTAAGTCACTCAGATTTAACCAAGGCCTTTTTACATGGACACCTATAGACGAAGTTGTGTACTAGGTCATGAAAACAAAGTTTTGAAATTGAAGCGTGCAATTTACAGGTTGAAACAATCGTCACGTGTCTGGTATAAAAAAGTCGAGGATGTACTGTTGAATCAAATTTTGAACCGTGTATTTTTATGAAATGTGTCAAGAATTTACTTTTACCGTAATTGCTTTTTATGTTGACGATTTTTTGAAAGTAATGATCTAAAAGAAAAATTGGCAAGTCATTTTAATTTAAAAGATTTAGGTCAAGATCAAGCCAAGCAGATTATGGGTGTGAATGTGTGCATTGATAAGAAAAATGGAGTCATAACTCTTAATCAGGGTAAGTATATTGATTCACTAGTGGCTCGATTCAACATGGTTCATTGTAAAACTGTTGAAACTTCCTATGGCTTAAATTTGAATTAGGGTAACAAAAATTATGATTCGTCATTAACCAATAGGCAGCTTATCGGTGGATTAATGTACCTTGCTGTCATGACGAGGCTTGATATTTCCTACTTAGGCAGTACAATAATACCTAGTTGTTTTGATATCAGTCATTGGAAATCTGCTAAGAAAGCTTTAAGATATTTGCAGAAAACCAAGAATGTTGGTTTCAAATATAAAAGGGGGTCTAATCAATTATTGGGTTTTGTAGATTCTCACTGGGGTAGCATTGGTAGCAACGTAGTTGATAGAAGGTCTTATACTAGTATGATTTTAAGGAATTCTGTTAAAAGTGGGATTCTGGAGTAAATCTACAGATTTTTCAAGGGGGTTTACCTCTATTATTGAAATATGTATTTCTTGATAGTTTGTAGAAAAAAATACATAATACTCGTAATAATATTTTTCAAATTAGGTTGACTTTCAATTTTCCTTAAAGACCCTCTCTTCAATTATTGCCGTACAACTTTAATATTTTCATTAGGGATTGCAATTCCTGTTGCAAGTTGCAAAAATGCTCCTAAATTCATCCTTATTTGGGAACGTAAAAATCCTCTTAACCTAAATTACACTTTATTACACTCAACGTTTCTACAGATATATAACTTACCGCTGCGGTTTTATCGGCATAATTCCTGGCAGCCAGAATAAAACATGCCTCCGCTTCGTTCATTCGGGCCCTCACCAAATCGCCGTCTTTCAAACACGAGCCCTGGATGTAAATCACTCGTTGGGCCCAAATCGGAACCTATAAATACGATTTTCCAGTTTTAGTTTATCGAACCGTATATTCAAAGTCTATTTCGGTCTCAAAGCGGAATAATCGCTTTGGAAACTGACTTTGAAGGGCAAAATGGCAGTTCCAAAAAATGAAACGATAATTATTATTGTAATTTACTGCATGTTTAATGAAAATACACGATTTTATTAACACAGGATATAAGTATTTATGCTTTTATTTGAATGACTGCGCATTTTCTAGAATGTTCTAAATATTTACATCTTAGGATAAGCCAAATATCAGTTTCAAGAAGAAAATAGTCCAATCTTAGTCAACTAGAAGAAACAATATGCAAAAAAAAAATCGATACCACTTCTCTACCCAAGCAATGGTATTACGTATCAACATTCTCATACTTAATAGTCGGTTTGTTGTAGTTCGAGACGTAAAAGTTATTGAAAACACCCCTCCATATTCCATATTCCATTTTAATTAGGTAAATCTCCAATATCCAAAGAGAAGTTCTGATTTAGTAACAATAAAATGAAAATAATTAAAATTGGCATTGGTAGGTACAGATTATTTAAAGGAAAATCAAAATCAGCAAGAATATTTTGCAACATTTGTGGGTAGGATTAAGGTTTTTTCGGAATATGTTGAGTATAGGTACACTGGAATTCTATTCAGCAAGTTATTAACAGGATTTTTAGGATTTGCATATACCGTGATTGTGTATGAAAAGAGAGGCATTTCAAAAGCTTTTCTAGGCTAGATGAAGAGAGATTTTTCAGAAAAATTAAGGGTATATCGTCTGGTCTGGTAGAAAAGGGAGCGTCTGAGTATAATACCAATTTCCTGATTCTGATTTCAAAATATTCAAACCTCAATTGCTTGGGTAAATTGCATTAAAATTGTCTGCATTTGTAGCTCTAAATGACCTGTAATTTACAATACTCCCAGGCTTATAGTTTTTGAGCAAATTGAGTTTGAAGTTTGTGACAAAATTTGGACTAAAAATCAACTTTGAGGCTCAATTAATCAAAAACTATTTGAGCTATTAAACTCAATTTTGTATAAATTTATAGAGAATTTATTGCTCTTTCCAATGGTGTATAATTTATTTCAATTTATCCATAATTTAACAAAGATATGGGCAATTGCTCATGACTATGTCAAGATTTTGAAAATTTTCCAAAGTCAAAAATAGAATTTTCTTATTAATTTTGTTTCTGCTTAAAATGGCCATTTAGAAATGATGTCAGGGTTGTTTTTCACTAATTTTTACCCACTCTATCGATTGGTGAAGTCAAAATTGAGCAAAACTGAAAAATAAGAAATCAAGTTTTTGATAAGGTTACCTACCCCTTTTGAATTCTAATTTCACAATATTCAAACCTCAATTGCTCAGTAACCGTTGAGCGAATTGCATTGAAATTTTCTGCATTTGTAGCTCTTATTAGGCTTTGAATGGCCTGTAATTCACAATATTCCCAGGATAATAGTTTTTGAGCAAATTGAATTTGAAGTTTTTAGCAAAATTTGGACTAAAAATTAACTTTGAGGCTCAATTACTCAAAAACTATTTGAGCTATTAAACTCAATTCTGTACGAATTTATAGAGAATTTATTGCTCTTTCCAATGGTATATAATTTATTTTAATTTGCTTGAAATTTTACAAAGATATGGACAATTGCTCATGACCATGTCAAGATTTTGAAAATTTTCTAGAATCAAAAATAGGATTTTCTTTTTAATTTTGTTTCTGCTTAAAATGACCATTTGGAAATGATGTCAGGATTGTTTTTTAACTAATTTTTACCCGCTCTATCGATTGGTCAAATCAAAATTGAGCAAAAGTGAAAAATAAAAAAATCGAGTTTTTCATATTCCTTTAAATTTTAATTTCAAAATTCTCAAACCTCAATTGCTTCGTAACTGTTGGATAAATTGCATTAAAATTTTCTGCATTTGTAATTCTTATTGAGCTCTAAATGGCCTGTGATCTACAATGTTCCCAGGTTTATAGTTTTTGAACAAATTAAGTTTGAAGTTTTTGGAAAAATTTGAACTAAAAGTCAACTTTGAGGCTCAATTGCTCAAAAACTATTTGAGCTATCAAACTGAATGTTGCATAGATTTATAGAGAATTTAATGCTCTTTCTAACGGTGTATAATTTATTTCAATTTGCTCAAAATTTAATAAGGATATGGGCAATTGCTCATGATCATGTCAAGATTTCGAAAATTTTCAAAAGCCAAAAATAGGATTTTCTTTCTATTTTTGTTTCTAGTTAAAATGACTATTTGAAAATAAGGTCAGGACTATTTTCCACTAATTTGGATCCGCTCTATCGATTGATAAGGTGAAAATTGAGCAAAATTGAAAAATAAAAAAATCGAATTTTTCATAAAGATACCCCCTTTGAATTCTGATTTCAAAATATTCAAACCTTAATTGCTCGGTAACACTTGAGCAAATTGCATTGAAATTTTCTGCATTTGTAGCTCTTATTAAGCTTTGAATGGCCTGTAATTTGCAATACTCCAAGGATGATACTTTTTGAGCAAATTGAATTTGAAGTTTTTGGTAGAATTTGGACTAAAAATCAACTTTGAGACTCAATTACTCAAAAACTATTTGAGCTATTAACCTCAATTTTGTATGAATTTATAGAGAATTTATTTCTCTTTCCAATGGTATATAATTTATTTTAATTTGTTCAAAATTTAACAAAGATATGGACGATTGCTCATGACTATGTCAAGATTTTGAAAATTTTCCACAGTCAAAAATAGGATTATCTTTTTAATTTTGTTTCTGCTTAAATGACGATTTGGAAATGATGTCAGGGTAATTTTTACCCGCTCTATCGATTGGTGAAGTCAAAATTGAGCAAAACTGAAAAATAAAAAAATCGAGTTTTTCATAGGGGTATCCCCTTTGAATTTTAATTTCAAAATTTTCAAACCTCAATTGCTCGATAACCGTTGAGCAAATTGCATTAAAATTTTCAGCATTTGTAACTCTTATTAACCTCTAAATGGCCTGTGATTTATAATATTTCCAGGTTTATAGTTTTTGGGCAAATTGAGTTTGAAGTTTTTGACAAAATTTGGACTAAAAATCAACTTTGAGGCTCAATTACTCAAAAATTATTTGAGCTATTTAACTCAATTCTACACGAATTTATAGAGAATTTAATGCTCTTTCCAAAAGTATATAATTTATTTTGATTTCCTCAAAATTTAACAAAGATATGGGCAATTGTTCATGACTACCTATGTCAAGATTTTGAAAATTTTCCAGATTCAAAAATAAGATTTTCTTTTTAATTTTGTTTCTGCTTGAAATGTCCATTTGGAAATGATGTCAGGGCTGTTTTTCTCTAACTTTCACCTGCTCTATCGATTAGTGAAGTCAAAATTGAGCAAAACTGAAAAATAAAAAAATCTAGTTTTTGATAAAGGTACCTTTCCCCTTTAAATTCTGATTTCACAATATTCAAACCTCTATTGCTCGGTAACCGTTGAGCAAATAACATTTAATTTTTCAGCATTTGAAGCACTTATTAAGTTCTAAAAGACCTGTAATCTACAATATTCCCAGATTTATAGTTTTTGAGAAAATTAAGTTTGAAGTTTTTAATAAAATTTAGACTGAAAGTCAAATTTTAGGCTCAATTACTCAAAAGTTTCTTTTGCACAGATTTATAGAGAATTCAATGCACTTTCCAGTGGTATATAATTTATTTCAATTTGCTTGAAAGCACCCCACAGAAACCTTATGAAAACTGACCCTCAGCGGAATCTTATGAAATTTCGCATATTGATAGTTCTTAACCTATAGATCAAAAGTATCCATGGGCACAAAGTTCTAAAAATTCACTTTTTTGAGTTACAATCATTTCAAGTTGCGTCATATGTGAAATTGCTCAAACCTTATGTAGTTTTTTCTGTTACTTTGTGAATTTAAGAATAATACATTTTAAATTATTCGATTCCAGAAATGGCGACTTTTAAACCATAGGCGACCCAAGAGGGGTTTAAAAATAATTATAAAATCGAGTATTGAAAATATACTCCTAGACAAAATTATCGCACCACTGCACATAAGCATCACATAAGCAGTGGTGCGATAATTTTGTCCAGGAGTATATATAGAAAAAGATTTGGTTGAAAATAAAACGAAACTGAAAGGCAATTCCAGTATATCGGCATGGTTATCCTCCTTTATTAGGCGTTCCTTTTTCTAAGATTATGTATTGACCTCGACACGTGGTTGCATCAAATTTGGAATATGAGATCTCTCTATAATATGAAAAGCAGTACAAATGAACAGCCTAATAGTACCTACTTAATAGATATATTACAATTAGTGCACAATACGGATTGGTCGATTTGTAAAAATGGGTGATTTAATCCGTCATGCGTAGGTTATGCGTCCACTACAGAGTTCTTAATAAAATAACAATCCCTTCAATTTAATCGCAGACCAAATTGACCGCTTATCTGGTTACAAATATTTCTGCAGCCAGGTTATTACCTAAATAAAATCGCTGAAGATTCTATAGCCAAAACTGCATTTATTATCCAAGATGACATTTATGAATTTCTGAAAGTACCCTTTGGTTTAACGAATGCTCCTGCGGTATTTCAAAAAAACATTAATAAAACCCTAGGAAATCTGAGATTTCGCATCATAATATATCTATTTCTTTGTATAAGTATAAAAGCGCTTTTTAAAATTTTGCTGTTTTGCGTCAAAAACGCGCTTTACACTTAACGATCACTGGCAGATTGCGCCCGTGGCAAATGCCAACTTTGCCACAACCTAATTACGGCACTCTCTATCTTAAACTTGGCAACAGTGCATTGGCCAGCTGTCCAAGGCCTGATAAGTAAAGATGGCCGTGGTGGTATACTAGTTCAGGAAAAAAATGACAACGATTTTACAGGAATTTTCTCGAGTATCAATGGGTAAAAAATTTGTAACTTTAGTTGTGAATTTCATATCAACTTCCAATTTGCTTTGCATCATGAAAAAACTCTAATTAATAAATCCTGAAAGTTTCAAATTCCTGGGATGGCTCAAAGTATCTTTCAGGAACCTTCAAAGACGATTTTACAGGAGTTTTATAATTTTCTCAGGTATCAATGGGTAAAAAATTTGTAACTTTAGTTGTGAATTTCATATCAACTTCCAATTTGCTTTGCATCATGAAAAAACTCTAATTAATAAATCCTGAAAGTTTCAAATTCCTGGGATGGCTCAAAATAATTTTCAGGAACCTTCAAAGACGATTTTAGAGGAATTTTATGATTTTCTCAGGTAATATTGGGTAAAAAATTCGTAACTTTAATTGTAAGTTTCATATCAACTTCCAATTTATTTTGTATCATGGAAAAACTCTTATTGATAAATCCTGAAAGTTTTAAATTGCTGGGATTGCTCAAAGTATTTTTCAGGAAACTTCAAAGAAGATTTTTCAGGAGTTATATGATTTTCCCAGGTATCAATGAGGAGAAAAATTCGTAACTTTAGTTGTGAGATCCATATCAACTTCCAATTTGTTTTGTATCATGAAAAAACTCTAATTAATAAATTCTGACAGTTTCAAATTGCTGGGATCGCTCAAAGTATTTTTCAGGAACCTTCAAAGACGATTTCAAAGGAATTTTATGATTTTCTCAAGTATCAATTAGTAAAAAAATTCGTAACTTTGGTTGTGAGTTCCATATCGATTTCCAATTTGTTTTGTGTCATGAAAAAACTCTGTTTATTAAATCCTGAAAGTTTCAAATTACTGGAATGGCTCAAAGTATTTTTCAGGAAACTTCAAAGACTTTTTTACAGGAGTTATATGATTTTCTCAGGTATCAATGAGAAGAAAAATTCGTAACTTTAGTTGTAAGTTTCACATCAACTTCCAATTTCTTTTGTATCATAAAAAAAACTCTAATTAATAAATCCTGAGAGTTTCAAATTCCTGGAATGTCTCAAAGTATTTTTCAGGAATCTTCAAAGACGATTTTACAGGAATTTTATGATTTTCTCGGGTATTTATGGGTAAAAAATTCGTAACTTTAGTTGTGAGTTTCATATCAACTTCCAATTTGTTTTGTATCATGAAAAAACTCTTATTGATGAATCCTGAAAATTTTAAATTCCTGGGATGGCTCAAAGTATTTTTCAGAAACCTTTAAAGATGATTTTACAGGAATTTTATGATTTTCTCGGGTATCAATGGGTCAAAAATTCGTAACTTCAGTTGTGAGTTCCATATCAACTCCCAATTTGTTTTGTATCATGAAAAAACTATAATTTATAAATCCTGAAAGTTTCAAATTTCTGGAATGGCTCAAAGTATTTTTCAGGAACCTTCAAAGATAATTTTACAGGAATTTTATGATTTTTTCGGTCATCAATGGATAAAAAATTGGTAACTTTAGTTGTGACGTTCATATCATCTTCCAATTTGTTTTGTATCATGAAAAAGCTCTAATCAATAAATCCTGAAAGTTTCAAATTGCTGGGATAGCTCAAAGTATTTTTCAGGAATCTTCAAAGATGATTTTACAGGAGTTTTATGATTTTCTCGGGTATCAATGGCTAAAAAATTCATAACTTCAGTTGTGATTCTCATATCAACTTCCATTTTGTTTTCTATCATGAAAAAACTCTAATTAACAAATCTTGAAAGTTTCAAATTGCTGGGATTGCTCCAAGTATTTTTCAGGAACCTTCAAAGACGATTTCAAAGGAATTTTATGATTTTCTCAAGTAACAATGAGTAAAAAAATTCGTAACTTTAGTTATGAGTTCCATATCGACTTCCAATTTGTTTTGTGTCATGAAAAAACTCTATTTATTAAATCCTGAAAGTTTCAAATTACTGGAATGGCTCAAAGTATTTTTCAGGAAACTTCAAAGACGATTTTACAAGAGTTATATGATTTTCTCAGGTATCAATGGGTAAAAAATTCGTAACTTCAGTTGAGAGTTCCATATCATCTTCTAATTTGTTTTGTATCATGAAAAAAACTCTATTTATTAAATCCTGTAGGTTTCAAATTGCTGGGATGGCTCAAAGTATTTTTCAGGAACTTTCAAAAACGATTTTACAGGAGTTATATGATTTTCTTAGGTATTGATGGGTAACAAATTCGTAACTTTAGTTGTGAGTTTCATATCAACTTCCAATTTGCCTTATATCATGAAAAAACTCCAATTAATAAATCCTGAAAGTTTCAAATTCCTGGGATGGCTCAAAGTATTTTTCAGGAACCTTCAAAGACGATTTTACAGTAGTTTTATGATTTTTTCGGATATCAATGGCTGAAAAATTCATAACTTTAGTTGTGAGTTTCATATCAACTTCCAATTTGTTTTATATCATGAAAAAACTCTAATTAATAAATCTTGAGAGTTTCAAATTGGTGGGATTTTTCAAAGTATTTTTCAGGATCAATTTTCAAAGACGATTTTACCAGGAATTTTATGATTTTCTCAAGTATCAATGGGTAAAAAATTCGTAACTTTAGTTGTGAGTTTCACATTAATTTCCAATTTGTTTTATATCATGGAAAAACTTTAATTGATAAATCTTGAAAGTTTTAAATACCTGGGATGGCTCAAAGTATTTCTTATAAATTTTCAAAGATGATTTTACAGGAATTTTATGATTTTCTCAGGTATCAATGGGTAAAAAATTCGTAACTTTAGTTGTGTGTTTCATATCAACTTCCAATTTGTTTTGTATCATGAAAAAACTCTATTTATTAAATCCTGAAAGTTTCAAATTACTGGGATGGCTCAAAGTATTTTTTAGGAACCTTCAAAGACGATTTTACAGGAGTTATATGATTTTCCCAGGTATCAAGGAGAAGAAAAAATCGTAACTTTAGTTGTGAGTTCCATATAAACTTCCAATTTGTTTTGTATCATGAAAAAACTCTAATTAATAAATCCTGAAAGTTTCAAATTCCTGAGATGGCTCAAAGTATTTTTCAGAAACCTTCAAATACGATTTTACAGGAGTTTTAAGATTTTCTCAGGTATCAATGGTTAAAAAAATTCGTAACTTCAGTTGTGAGTTTCATATCAACTTCCATTTTGTTTTGTATTATGAAAAAACTCTAATTATAAATCCTGAAAGTTTCAAATTGCTGGTATGGCTCAAAGTATTTTTCAGGAACTTTCAAAGACGATTTTACAGGAATTTTATGATTTTCCCAGGTATCAATGAGTAAAAAAATTCTTAACTTTGGTTGTGAGTTCCATATCAACTTCCAATTTGTTTTGTGTCATAAAAAAACTCTAATTATTGAATCCTGGAAGTTTCAAATTGCTGGGATGGCTTAAAGTATTTTTCAGGAACCTTCAAAGACGATTTTACAGGAGTTTTATGATTTACTCCGGTATCAATGGGTAAAAAATTCGTAACTTTAGTTGTGAGTTTCATATCAATTTTTAATTTTTTTTGTATCATGAAAAAACTTTAATTATTAAATCCTGAAAGTTTCAAATTCGTGGAATAGCTCAAAGTATTTTTTCAGGAAGTTTCAAAGATGATTTTACAGGAATTTTAGCATTTTCTTAGGTATCAATGCGTAGAAAAATTCGTAACTTTATTATTGTTATGAACATAACTTCATTTCACTGAGAAGTGGTCTAAATTTGGAATTGAACAGAAATTTGTGAAGGTCTGTAAATGACATTTTATTTAAACGACCCTCTTAAGGAAAAATTGTAAGTATTTAATATGTAGAAAAGCTGAAACTTCTATCACAATGACTATGTTGGATAGAAAGTAGATTGACTATGGAACATTATCGAAAATTTAATTGACTTTTGAGTGAAATAACTTTAGAATATTTTTCGCTAAGAGTATAAATAGGACATGACTATTGCCAAGATAGAGATATGTTTGGCTTCTATTGAAAATTTATTTTGTCAGAATTTTAGTTTCCTACTGATTGCACTATTACCTAACTCACTAAAATTGGACAAAACCAACGTTGCATTGAATTTCAATGACTGAAAGTAAATCGACGGATTCTTATAATATAATAATTGATTTTGGTAATGTACCTACCTGTAAAATCATCCTCATAGTAGTATCCAATTCCATCGGTGACAACAGAACCACATAAAAATCCTGTAAAAGCGGATGAGCATAGAATTCATTCAAAAAATCCATAATAGTATCGGCGTGCAAATTGGTACTGCATACCACTACGTGCTTTTCCGATTGGGCGCGGTGCGATGAATAGGAGCCGCCCAATTTTTGTCGTTCCATCCAGGTGAAGGCCAATTGTTCGAACTAAAGTGAAATTTCATTTATTTTCATTTCCTAGTTATTTGGTCATAATATCAATAATCTATATCTTATTTACAATTTTTAATCCAAAGGTATAGGTAAATTTATCACCTTTCCCTATCAAATAGCATTGAAAGGTGATAAATTTTGCCTGTACCTTTGGACTACAGATTGTAAATAGACAATAATTTAAATTGTATCTTCAATATTTGAAGAGAAGTTCTAATTTAGTAGCAATACATTGTCTTTACCTGTGTAGGTAGCACAATAAGTGCTACACAAATCATGATGACCATGTACAGTTGAGAAGGCCAAATGTCGGGCACAAAATCTCCGTAGCCTACAGTGGAAAAGGTCACTACTACGTAATAAGTTGCCTGAAATAGGTTCAAGTGTCGATGTCCGGCCCGTTGGAAATGTTGAATTCCACAAACGCTGCAAAAATAAATGAGAATTATGAACTTAGAATTTCATATTTATTGAGGAATCTAAAATTCTAGGAAAATTGTCAAGAATCTTAGAAAATATGTATTAATGTCAATCGATTTTTCCCCACCAAAATATAATTACATATTTTAAGAGAAGTTTGCCTTGTCTCAACCAAACTTGTTTCTTTCAATGGCTATAGGGCTTTTATTTTGAATTAATAATTATTTATTAACACATCCTCTGGCACGCTCTTCCCTTCCGCATGTTTTCCAATTTAAATTTGAATATTTATTAACTTCCCTGTGACGATTAAATTCGAAATATTTTTGATTTAATTTTGTAGAGCTGTAGGCGTTTAATAAATTATTAAACTTGAATACCTACCCACTTTTTGTAACAAACATTTTATAATTTAGGTTTCTGTTTGAGAAAAGTTACTTTTAAAATACTGTTGAAAAATTGCCTCGGGAGCCCGGAATCCAATTGCCTACTTTTGTGTAAACAATTCGGAAAATTCTATTCAAGTAGGTTGCTAGGGTTTTGTTACTGTATATAGTTTTTAGTGAACCTGGAATCCGTAACAATAATTTGAAAAAAATGCATGAATATGATTGTAAAATATGAAAGTAAAAAATAAATAGAGATGTATTACCTTGTGAAAACCAGACAAATAAGCGTTGCGGAAAGAATAGTCAGCTGTTGCGACAATGCCGATTGCGATTTTTGCATTGCCCTATGAAGATCGTTCTAAAAGAAACAAACCAATTATTATTTTAATAACTAAAATTTAAATTCCTAATGTAGATATTACATTATGATAATAAAAAAATACAAATAAAAATAAATTTTGCGCATTTCCATCAGACATTTATATGCAACCACTTTAAATCTCTCCCCCAGACAAGAACGAGGAAACTCAGCTCGACAAATACACAAAGATGTTAAGAACTTGTAGGCCAAGCAATGAAGGAAGTTTACCTCAACATAATTAGAAGTTAAAATTTTTTTGAGGGGATCGGTCCATTTTAATATGCTTAATAACATATTAAGTTTGCGACCTTGTAATTCCCTAGGGTTTTTAGTTAGGGGTGGTTTTTAGGGGTAATTTGCGGTTTATTGAGAACCCTGCTTGAAGGGATGGTCCAATAACAAAAAGTTTGAAATGATTGTTGTAGCTGAAGTTTTTTGCTATATAAAACTTCGCGACAGTACCCCTTTATCTTCTATAGTTTTTTTTCTGCAGCGTCTTGAATAGTAGCATGTTGTTGTTCAAGGTCAGTGAATCAACGTTTGGCCTGTTTACGCGCATTTCATGCAGTAGCGGCCGAATGCATAATCCGATCTCAATTTTTCAAACATCACATTATTGCTAATGGAATGCACTCTCCATTGCTTTTTTGTTCGAATTTTTTGCTTGAAAATTAAGCGAGCACGGACTTGTTTAATGTATGAGTAAGTTGTAAATTGCATCGGAAACTACCCTTTCTTGCATTCACTGTAATTTCTAAACGGGGCCAAATATTTGGTGACAGTTTTCGACAATCGGCAGCCCATTTATTCCTCTCAAAATGCCCCAGCGGATTTTTTTTTCGTTAATTACTCAATGACTTATTGGCCAGAACTCGTCGCGCGGAATTTTTCAAAAAGTCAAAAAAAATCAAAATTGTCGCTCAGCGCTGAAATTTGGTACGTTGGCTTTATTTATTGTTCTCATGAATATACTGAAATTTAAATTGTTGCAGCAGTCATGTGATGCGATTAAAATTGCAGTATATTCATATAAGAACAATAAATAAAGCCATCGTACCAAATTTCAGCGCTGTGCGACATCTTTAATTTTTTCTGACTTCCGCGCGACGTGTTCAGGCCAATAAGTCATTGAGTAATTAACGAAAAAAAAAATTCGCTGGGGCATTATGAGAGGAATAAATGGGCTGCCGATTGTCGAAAACTGTCACCAAATATTTGGCCCCGTTAAGAAATTACAGTGAATGCAAGAAAGGGGTAGTTTTCGATGCAATTTACAACTTCCTCGCACATTAGACAAGTCCGTGCTCGCTTAATTTTCGAGCAAAAAATTCGAACAAAAAAGCAATGGAGAGTGCATTTCATTAGCAATAATGTGGTGTTTGAAAAATTGAAATCGGATTATACATTTGGCCGCTACTGCATGAAATGCGCATAAACAGGCCAAACGTTGATTCACTGACCTTGAACAAAAACATGCTACTATTCAAGACGCTGCAGAAAAAAAACTATAGAAGATAAAGGGGTGCTGTCGCGGAGTTTTATGTAGCAAAAAACTTCAGCTACAACAATCATTTGAAACTTTTTGTTATTGGACCATCCCTTCAAGCAGCGTTCTCAATAAACCGCAAATTACCCCTAAAAACCACCCCTAACTAAAAACCCTATGGAAGTACAAGGTCGCAAACCTAATATGTTATTTAGCATATTAAAATGGACCGATCCCCCGAAAAAAATTTAACTTCTAATTATGTTGAGGTAAACCCTCTTTTCAGATCCCCGTTTCTTGGACTATTGGATTTCCGGATGTATGATGAAATTCGACGTGGAAAATGCGAGTTTGCCAATTGCGCAATACCCGATAAAATATTTTACATGAAATTCTTAGTTTCAAATCTATAATTAAAATATTATATGCTTTATCTAGTTAGTCCCAACACAACAGAACAGAGGAATATCCAATTATATACGCACTTATCAATTATTGTATTCAATAATTGCCGATGCCTATTTGATTTCGGAAAATGTATGCGAATTTAATGCAATTTCCTGCTTCCTTTCAATTAACAGAATTTGAAACAAAAACCAAAAATTTCGAGTTGAGTTATGAAAAACAAAATGGAATTTATTGTATTTAGATTGAAGCAGGTATATGTTTATCGAATATAAAATAAATGTACTGGAAAATGTTTGAACGCGGCACTTTTAGTAATAAACTTTAACTTTATTATACAGCTACAACAATGCTTTAAAACCCAAATGTGCGCTACGTTTACAACCGCTTTTCATTTGAAACTTGAAAGGGCAAATCCTAATTTTAAAAAGGGAAATAAAGTAAATGTTATACAGAAATTGGATATAATTATGCTTTATGTATCTGAACGTATTTAAAAGAAAAGAAAAAATTGTACTTACGAACATATTTTCTAAGGAACGTTTCGCTAACCAACAATTTAAAAATACTGGAATGAACATGGTCCTTAACGGTGGATAAAAAATCTGGAAAAAAAAAACATTCATCAATATTATCTTTTTATCAATATTACATGTATAATAAGAACCGGCCAAGAAGAAGCCATTGACGTCATCACTGACAAAGAAGGGAAATTATTTTTACCATTTGGAATGAGACAAACGATAACGCGTGGTGTGTATTCTTAGTTGATTCGAACTTTAATTACATGACGATTTTCAAATTATTTTTAAGCTACATCGTTTTTTACACAATTTCAGAGAGTATTGAACGCACTTCTTTATATGAAAGTTTCGAATTTATTATGATGTGATTAATCGAAAGCCTAGATACAAAAACATTTCGTTTCCTTATTGATTGATACGTATTTAAAACGTCTATCATTTTATTAAAACTTGAAAAAACAAGTAGGTATATTTATAAAAGCAAACAGCATTTTTTAATCCAATAGAGTACTTGCACATTTCTGAATCATATTTTTTTCTCGAATCCTGTGGGTAAAAGATCATAACCTATCATCAATTATTAGGCTACCCAATCAATCTGTCAAAAAGGAAAATTCAATATGGCGTGGCGGCCAAGCAAGTCTTTGTTTTTATGCATATTTTAAATTATTTTGCTTAAAGTTTTGCTTGCAACTTTTATTTTAATTATTTAATAAAATATTTGTTGACTAGGTACCTAAAATATTGAATCGAGCAGAAATTAGATAATTTTTTGTGTTTTTTGGCACATGTGTGGCCGCCACGCCATGTTGAGTATCACGTGGTTTGGATTGCCTAATAGAGAGCCAGTGTTACCAATGACCTGATAATTATCGAATTCTACCATAATTTTGACTACGATTCATTAATCGATAATGACAAGCTAATCTACCATAATTTATTGAAACTACAATTTTAATACAGATTTTTCAAATTTCTAGTTCAAAATTTAAAAATTTATTAAAAAATTGAAGGTGGTTGTTGGTTTTGAGTGTTTTGACGTACCAGATTGAGCCAAAGTTTCATGCCAATAACTTTACTGGTTTCCAAAATATAGCCCTTTGAAATATTTGAAAATCAAATCCCCAGCATACGCCTTTGGAAAAATTCGAATTTTTAAATTTTTGGATTTTGCAATGTTTGACTTTACCAATCAAAAGAGGAGATCAAAATTAGTGATAAAGCATTTTTGCAACTTTGTTTTTAGTGTTTTAAAGCCTTGTAAGAAAATAAAAACGATTTTTGCAATTTTTGGGCTCAAAAAAGTTCAATAATATGACATTTTTTCACAAAGTTGCTGATTACTCGGTTATTATTGCAACAAATACAATGTAAAATTATATATTCTGAATCAGAATTAAATTATCTTCAAGATAAAATAAGACTCAATTCTATATCTTAAATACTTCTGAGGATATTGAGGCTCAAATTTGAAACTTTACCTCAAATTTTGCAAAAGCTTCCAGGCGGATTATCCCGAAAACGAAACCCTTGGGCGCGGAGTCTTAAAAGAACTTTTTTGTAGCCCTTATTGAGAGCTACAATTGGGCAAAAGATTCATGCCAATAGCTTCACTGGTTTCCAAAATATGGCCCTTTGAATGGTATTTGAAAATCAAATTTCCACCCCTTTGGAAAAATTCGAATTTTTAAATTTAATGATTTTTGCAATTTTTGATTTCATCAATCAAAAGAATAGGTTGAAATTAGTAGAAAAGCATTTTTAGAACTTTCCTTTTTGGATTTTAAAGCCTTGTTACAAAATAAAAACGATTTTTGCAAAAAAAATTCAATAATCTGACATTCTTTCACAAAATTGCTGATTACTCGGTTATTAGTGCAACAAATACAATGTAAAATTATATATTCTGAATCAGAATTAAATTATCTTCAAGATGAAATTAGATTCAATTCTATATCTTGAATACTTGGGAATATATTGAGGCTCAAAGTTGAAACTTTACCTCAAATTTTGCAAAAGCTTCCAGACAGATTATCTTGAAAACGAAGCCCTTGGGCTCGAAGTCTTAAATAACCTTTTTTGTATCTCCTATTAAGAGCTACAATTTGGCAAAAGATTCATGCCAATAGCTTCACTGGTTTCTAAAATACAAGCATTTGAAATATTTGAAAATCCAATTTCCATACCCCTTTGGAAAAGTTCGAATTTTCAAATTTTTGGATTTTGCAATTTTTGACTTTACTAATTGTGCAAAACCACATAATGGAAGATAAATAACTTGATAATTAGTGGACTGTATAATTAGGTGGACTGGATGATCGACTGGATAGGGAACTAAAACATACGCGCTTTTCACTGACACTATATTTACAACAATTTACACAATATTTACACTATTTACAATTACTACTACAAGATGACAAGAAGCCAGAGCTTGCTTAGATGCCCAACAGGGCAGAGCTAGATTATAAAATTTATTAAAATGTGAAAAGGTTTCTGGATGCTTGTTAACGTGGACAAGCTCCAAGCTACACTGCTGCAATGACAAAAATGGCGCGCAATATATTGACAGACATGACAAAATAGACATGACGACAACGCTGCAGTGTTGCAAACTTTATATGTATAAAATATTTTGCCATCAAAAAGAGATAGCATGATTGTTGGAACATGTTTCCAACATGCTGGGGGGCCTAGAGTTTCACATGAAACCAAGGTAAAATTTTCCAGCAAAAAAAATAAAAAAATTAAAGAGAAAGTAAGCAACCTTTTTTTTAAAAAAAGGTATGATTTCAATGATGATCCAGTAAACGAAAACTTAACTAACAATTAAAGCTAAAAACATTTCTGGAACACATAGTATGACATTATGTATGTATATACGAGTATAGCTAATTGAATATAAATATAAATCTAAATGTTTTACAAATATATGTACAGAATTTTGTGAATAATTTTCAAAAATATTATTAACAATTATTGTCATCAATGGCATTCCCGCAATAGTACTCAAAAATTGCGCCAACGAACTCACCCCAACTTTCGCTAAATTATTCAATTTGTCTTACAGGCAAGGAGTATATCCATCATCATGGAAGTCTGCCGCAGTACAACCCATTCCAAAGAAAGGAAAAAAGACAGATCCGTTAAACTATAGACCAATTGCTCTACTTCCGGTGATATCAAAAGTAATGGAAAGAGTTGTGAACAATCACCTAACCAAGTACTTGGAAAAGTACAAAATTATCAACGATAAGCAATACGGATTTCGAAAATATAGGTCAACTGGCGATTTACTTACATACGTCACTCACTTATGGCAAAAAGCGATTGAGTTGCGGGGTGAAACAAGAACAATTGCCTTAGATATATCTAAAGCATTCGACAAAGTTTGGCATGAAAATCTGCTCAACAAGCTCAAAGCAATGGGATTATCGCCGAAACTTTGCACTTGGTTTGAAAGTTACCTAAAGGACAGATCCATTTATGTTGCACTGGATGGCCAGAACTCCAACTCTTACCAAATAAATGCTGGTGTGCCACAGGGAGCAATCCTTTCGCCAACTCTTTTCCTGATTTACATAAATGACCTCATAGATAAAACAGTAAATCCACTTTATTGCTTTGCAGACGATGGCAATGTAGTCTCCTCACTCATACCACCCACAGGTCTTTCCGCACGTGAATTCCATCATCTTAGACTAACTCAAATATCGCAGATAAATAACGACCTGGAGATAATAGAGGACTGGGGTAACAAAAACCTTGTACAGTTCAACGCGCAGAAAACCCAAGCAGCTCTGTTTTCAAAAAAGACCAGCACCGGTGAGCCAAACATCATGCTATCTGGAAGTGCTGTCACATTACAGAGTCAGTTGAACATCTTGGGGGTTACTGCAGAGACCAACATGTCTTGGCACAGTCACGTGGCAGATATTGCTAAAAGGGCCTCCCAAAAGCTGGGGGTGCTATTTCGTACAAGACATCTGTACACACCAAGCCAATTGCTGACACTCTACAAAGCCCAGATTCGACCAACTATGGAGTACTGCTCACATATATGGAGTGCAGCACCCAAACATACCTTAATGCTTTTGAATACCGTGCAAAAACGAGCTATCAAGCTGATCAATGACTCCGCACTTACTCGTAACTTGGATGGTCTCGAACATCGCAGATCTGTGGGCGATTTATCTCTCTTCTACAGGTACTATCACGGAAAATGCTCTGAAGAGTTGGCACGTATGATTCCACCGAGAGTAGCACCTACCAGGCGAACCCGTCAAACAGACGGTAACCATGAATTTACTGTCAAACTAGAGGCACCAAGAACCTCATTATATCAGAATTCATATCTCTGGAGAACAGCATCGCTGTGGAATAAACTCCCTGCGACGGTTTTCCCTGCAGGTTACAACCTGAACCGTTTCAAGACCAACATACACCGACATTTCCGCGCACTTGCCGCTTCTCGAGCGTGATAGGACATTTCCTTGCGAGTGCGCATATCCGTAAAAAAAAAAAAAAAAAAAAATCGGTAACACTGCAATCTTGGTAACCGATCTGAGATAAATACCTTTTTTGGTTTTCACTTCGACAACCCTTACTTTGCCGTCCTTTCCAGGTATTGCTTTAACTATTCTTGCCATTGGCCACTTATAAGAAGGTACATTATCCTCTTTTAAAATGACTAACAAGCCCTCCCTAAGGTTAGGCATCTCATCACGCCATTTTGGCCTATTTTGGAGTTGCGTTAGATAGTCGTGATACCACTTTTTCCAAAAATGCTGCTGCATCTGGACACACAATTTCCAAAACTTAAGTCGACCTTGGGGAATTTCCGTCAAATCAGGGTCAGGAAAGCTTGTGATAGGCGCACCTATCAAAAAATGACCAGGGGTCAAATAGTCCAAATCTGAAGGATCTTGTGACAAGGCTACAAGTGGTCGGGAATTTAAAATTCCTTCTACTTGGACAATAAGAGTATTAAATTGTTCATAGGTAAGCTCATTGCTACCTATGACTCGCTTGATGTGAAATTTTGCCGATTTTACTCCAGCTTCCCATAAACCACCAAAAAC